AACCTTTTTTCTTTGCCACTTTTGAAATCCAGAAACCAATTTAACTGTGAAAGTTTGAATCTCACTTTTTTTTTGGCAATTTTATTATTAGGAAACTAATCCATACTACTGAAATCCTCCCCAAATACAAGCTACGTACGTGAAGCGGTGGAGGGTCTCATAATCTTTTTGTTTTTTTTTTTTTTTTTTTTTCCTCAAAATTTGTAATCTAAATCAAGATTGATTCAGGTGCAAATGTGAATCATATACAAATTTTGCATCCAATTTAATTTTGTAATTATGATTTTCACTCCAACCTGATACAAAATTTACACTTTTTGCCTCATTTGCAATCATTAATGTATAAATTTTGCATCTAAAAAAATGATACAAAATTTACACCACCTCCCTCCTACCTCAATTCAGTGAGAACCACACTACCTCACTCCCAAATAAATAACCCTCCTACCCCCATTCTCTTGCATATAAGATGGAGCCACACTATTTTATTTTCTATTTTTTACTTTTCACAAACACAGCAAGATCAAATACACTGATGATGTTTTACACTGAACTAGCAAGTGACTGTTGCTTTTTTTTGAAAATAGTGATGGGTGGAAGAGTGAAAATCGACGTAAAACTACACTCCATCCAAACGCATGCAAAACTGAACCAGAGTATAGTTTTACGTTGTTAAACACCCTCTTTTCAAATGCATATAAAATCGAACTAATATAAAATTTACATCGATTCTTGATTTACATCACATCCAAACGCAATCATAACAAAAATAAATTAAAATTTACACACAGCTTATTTGTATTAACATGAATTTACACCAGTTTAAATAAACCAAACACAGCCTAGAGAATGATTCATTGATTCCAGGCAGGGCAAAGGAAACGGCAAGACAGGGACAAAAGCACATGATGCAAGGGCAAGCGGAAATTAAGCACTTATGATCAAAAAAACAAAAGGACCCATTCAGCGATTATTGAATTGGATGATTCAGAAATCATGATGAGATTCTTATATATTACCCTCCAAAAGACTGCTGTATCGTATTAATGCAAAAGGCGTGCCAAATTTCTGACCTTTTCAAGGTGTGGACGTCGTGGTTCCACGGAGCTATTCCTAGTCCTAGTTTATTTGTGAGTTGTGAGGGGAGTCATGGTTCAGTAACCACCGGTTTTAGGTCAAACGTCAAAGCGTACACAAAAAACAATGAGGTGAACGTGATCCACACATTTACATACAACTTATCGCTTTTTCTTGGAATTCAACAAATACCTGAGTGACACGTATACTATATCTAATGTAGGTTAGGTTCTATGTCTCTCCCATAACATGTGCGTCAGTACTAACGTCATGTCTGTCGACACGAATCCAACAAGGAACAACAGAATCGCATGTTTGGATGACCAAATCAGATGCTTCCAAATTATACCTTTCTTCCCTTTGAAAGAGTCTCATGGTAGTTCATTTCTAATGTTAAATCAAATTTTTTATTTTTCATGTTAATGATGTTTAATGGCTTATTTACTTTTTCTTTGGTTTATGTTTACAAAATGTATTTATTATTAAATAAGGGTCCGTTTGGCTTGTGAGAATAGAGGTCTGAAATTGGAACCAGAATGGGTTATTCCAATTTTAATTGTTTGGTTGGGCAGAATTTGAATCTCATTCCCAAATCCCAATCTTGATAGAATGACATTTTCCTTTCCTTGTAAATAAAATTCCATTTCAATTGATTCCAATATCCATTCTGATTTTTATCTGAATTAAGCAGATTATAAAAATATACAATTCCGATTCTAATTCTAAAAGATTTTGATTCCAACTATAAACCTATAAATCGAACAGACCCTTATAAAGATTCATATAAATAAAAAACTGCTTCCAAATGAAATTCCCATCATACCTTAAATCAAAAATTGAAATGATCTCAACTATTCTTTTCGTTTTTTTTTTTTTTTTTGACTGTATTTGATCACAATATAAATAAATTTGTATTGATGCAAAACTATGACAGTACAAATGAAGTGAATGGTTTATGGTTAAGGAAGGAATCAATAACAATTAAGAAAGGAAGAGGATGGTTTATGGTTAAGGAGTTAGGACATTGGAGTTGTTGACATTTGGTTTTGCGTGTTCACAAGCATCCAACGCTTTTGATTTCTGGGTTGGCGATTGATAGTTGCGTGTTTGAGTTGAGGTCTAAGGTCTCTCTTCCCATCGGTCGGTCCTCGTAGCCCCTACGTGTCGTTCTGACTGTGATGGTGAGAAGTGAGAACACCTTCCCTTTCATTAATACTGTGGATGCCCTTTTGAAATTAATGTTCCATGCCCAATTGCCCATGTAGGCCTCCCCCCTCCTTAACTCTGATGTGATGTCTAACTTTCTCATTTCATTACTTACCTTCATCTCTCTCTCTAAACTCATAAGATAGCTCACCTTGGCTTGGCTAACAACTACTTCAAATTAATGTATGGCTGACCGATCAGGTATGCAATTAAGGCTGCTTTTAGGGATAAAGATTTGGCATGAATTGGATTCATTCAACCTGTACCTTAGAATTAAGATTTTTAGGGATGGATTGAACAATAAAAACCCTTATAAATATTGAGTTTTTAATTGAAAAAAGAAATTATTAACCTGAATGTTGAATCCAATCAATTATGGAGTTTAGTCAGAATCATACAGTGATCCCGCCACCCTTAGCCTCTTTATTTGATTGAATGGCTATTCACTTGAGCCACTGTAAGTTCCGTTTGTTTTTAGGGCTGTCAATGAATCGGGTTTGGTTGGTTAAAACGAACCCAATGAATCTGACAGACTCGAATCAATCTAGGGATGTCAAAGAGATATGGTACATGGGATGAATTTTGCTTTTTTTTTTCTTTTTTCAAAATGAAATATTTGAATTAACATTAATATTTTTCTTATGTGAAGAAAAAAGTAATAGCTAATTAGCTAAGTATTTCAATCTAAAACAAATTTTACATATAAGTTACGGAGAAACAAACGCAACCTTAGTTGAAATTCCATGGAATTATGATGGATGGTACAGATAGTGCCTATAATTCAATCAAATCAAATTGGGTTGGGCCTGTCATATCACATATACTGGATATCCACATGATTCACTAATTAATTTTTTTGTCCTACATAACAAACTTATTCTCATGTCTTGATCATAGAATAGAGGCTAAGAGGTAAGCCCATATCCTGTCATCTCATATTTCCTTCTGGGCTTGGACCTTGAAACAGTATTCATGTTGATTGATGTATATTATCTTTCATCTTAATTGAATGAATTTCTTTCTAGGAATTCGGGCTAACTAGTTAGAACATTTGCCTATTTCAGTAATTTTATCCATTACATTTTTATCATACTCAAATAAGGAAGCAAAGGTGATATCAAGAAACCCTGCAATAATCGAATCGATTACTATTATCACTTTAGGCCAGAATTTATTTTTTAAGTTGTGATTGAATTATTAGGAGAACATCACACTTATTCTTTTCCCAAAAGGTAAATTCATTCATTGCTTAGAAAACACTTATTCCAAGAGTTCTGATTTGTTCTTCACAGAGCACTATTTATACCAACCTCACATAACTTGGAGCCATACATTTGGAACATCTCCACACTTGTAAATCCATATCACTTTGTTTAACTCATAAGCCCTAAAACCCTAATGATTGGTTGTTATTAGTGGTTTTCTTTCCATAATTTATATTTTATTATTGTTAATTTTATGATTATAGATTTTTAAAAAAAGAAACCTATCACAATTCATGATAGAGTTAGATCATTTGAAAGATTTTTTTTTTTTGACCTTTGTATTAGGAAAAAACAATTAAGCAACACCAGTAAAAGTTCAGTAAAGGTCTTTTAGGTACAGATAGACAAAGAGAAACTGAGAAAATTTAAAGGAATCAACCCAATCAAAAGTCAACTTCTGACTGAATCAGGTTGAATTAGAACTTAGGATAAATGTTGGTATCCAGAAACCTTGGGTTGAGTTGGGGTTGACCTCAACCTGACCCAATCCTCAACTTGCACGCCTAATCTCTCCTTTGGCTTAATTTGAAATGAACATAAATAGAAATATGTACAATGGTTTTTGAATCATTGTTGATTCGGACAGTCGGACCGTTCGGCCCGGGAATCGTTCAGACAATTGATTCTATTTTACCTTAAATCTGGTCCTTGATTAAAAATCATTAAATCAGTTAGCGATCCATTGATCCAAGTGATCGAACCGTTAACCTGTTCAATAATTTTAATTGTTTTTTATTTTTTTATTTTTTTATTAGAATGAATCATTCATTTGAACCAATGATTGAACCATCAACCCAAAAATCGGTGACGAAAACGATTCTATTTCCGGATGGTTTTTTAAAACCATGCATATTTATATTTATCAACAAGTAAAGAAGGCAAAACAGATGGAGAGGGGAAACGAAAGGGAAATGCCCTTATCACACACACTGAAAAGAACCAACTTCCGAGCCGTAGCCCAGCTATAATACTAATAGTGTTTAGGAACCGAGAGAGAGAGAAGGGACACGTAGTAGTAGAAGTAAGATGTAGGCCGTATAATTCATAAATGGCCTGAGATGAGTAAATACGAAAAGTAGCTTTTTGGATCCAAATCCAGAAGTCATGGCATGGGAAATGAGAAAGTGGGACCACACCAACCAATGGGAATCCACATGAACTTGGACCAACAACGGGTGTGCGTGTCAGCTCTTCCCACCCCCAACCCTGGGACCACGCGCAGAAGGCAGAACCATATCTTACAAGATTCAGCTGCCTTTTACTTTCCATTTGACTCAATTACCCTTCATTCTTGTCTAATTCTGTTTCAAGGATGAGGGCATTCTCGTCCTTGTAATTTGACACTAATTTTCTGTTATTTTGTGTATTATTTTATTCGTCAAGGCAAATCATAGTCTCTCTCTCTCTCTTCTCTCTATAAATAGTTAAATACAACACAATTACTCCAACACAGAAGAAAAAAAGGAAGAAGAATCCGCTTTCTCTTACAATTCAAATACATCTCTGATTTCTCATCTCCCAACTCCTGTTTCTATGCTTCTCTTCCCCTCTCTTTCGCATTCCATTCCTTCAATTCAGATTCCACTTCTCTTCACCAATTCCTTCTCCTCTGCTCTAAATCCTCTGTCCCCAGATGCAATTTTCTCTCCCTCATATTGCACTTTAATTTCCTTTCTCTGATTTCCTGTTTTTTGTTCAATTTGCAGAGGAAAAGGGGTCGATTTTTTAAACCCTTGTTTCTGGCACATTTTTTTTTCGTGCACTCTGCCATCTTTGCTTCTTTAATTCTTATATTCTCTCCTGAATTTTCCGGCAGAAACTCACCGGAATCATGGACAGAGCACTAGAAACTGGTGCACCGATTTCCTTCTCCTGTGGCATAGACATTCGCACTTGTCTATCGGAACTCTTAATATCAGGTGGGGCGAATCCATTGGATTCAATCTTCTCTGCCTGCCCACCTACATATTCAAACCCATTAACCAGAGAAACACAAGAGCCCTTAGGCTCCTCCGTCTATCTCCGTCAGGGAGAGCTGCTGCAGAAATTCAGCAACAAAAGTAAGGCTACAAGCACGACAAAGGTTAGCCCGGGAGCATTAATGACCCCTCAAAGAAATCAAGACGGAACCTATTCCAGTCCAAGTATGACTACTTTATGTAAGAAAAAGCTCTACAGAGGAGTAAGGCAGAGGCATTGGGGTAAATGGGTGGCCGAAATCAGGCTCCCTCAGAATAGGATGAGGGTCTGGTTAGGGACGTACGATACCGCCGAGGCAGCAGCTTACGCATATGATCGCGCTGCGTATAAATTACGGGGTGAATACGCCCGCTTGAATTTCCCACATCTTAAAGATGGAATTACGTCGGGATTTGGAGATAGCGCCAAATTAAATGCATTGAGGTCCTCAGTCGACGCCAAAATTCAAGCGATTTATCAGAAGATGAGGAGAGATAAAGCTAAAAGGAATGCTAGTGACAATAGAAGTAGCAGCTGGGGCATCAGCAGTAATGGTGGTACTGCCACTGCTTCCAGCAGTTGTAGTGATGGTAGTGAAGGTGGAAAGGTGGTGAATTCATCATCAATTTTGTCATCGTCATCGGCCATCCCCAGGGATGAATGGGGTAATGATATCTTATCGCCTACTGTTTCTGAAGAGAGCTTGTCAAAGGGTGCCAAGTCACCCGCCTCTGTTTCAACAGAGTGTCCCATGGTAACAGAGGGACTAGATTTCGAAGGTTGCTCACTAGAAAGGATGCCGTCATTTGATCCAGAGCTGATCTGGGAAGTTCTTGCTAATTAAAGAGAAATCTTTCCTCTCTATCTCTCTCTCTCTCTCTCTGTGAAAAATTACGCATCCATTTGTTTAGAAATATCTCTGTAATGTGTTAAGGTATTATATCTGAGGATGCAAGAGGGTTGGTTGTTGAGGTTTGACTCAAATGCTCCTCTAAGAAATTCTGGCGATTGTTTTGGTTAAAGTTTAACCAATTTTTTTTGTTAGAATAATTCCATTAGTATTTGTAACAAACAATTGCCTCTAGTTCTGTTTCTGGATAGAAGTGAACACTAATTTGCTTAAAAAAATGTTTGTGGTCATAAGGAATGGTTTATTATTCAATAAAAGCAAAACAAAATGGTCCTTCTTGATTTTTTTTTTTTTTTTTGAAGGTGGTCCTTCTTAATTTGCATAGCATATTGAAAGGACATACATATATAAAAAGAAGATAGATTAGAAGTTATAACTGTCATTTTCAATGTGTTATAATCTGATAATTGCCAGGAAAGCATAGAGGTTGGGCAATTAATCCATAAAAGGGGATTTTTAATTTGAACAAAGAACAATCATGTTGACCTTCAACATGCTTCAGGAAGTAGTAATGATCCTTTCTAATATCTGTCATTCCATATAGATAAATCATAAATTGCATGTTTTCCAGTAACAGCTCTCTCCAACCTCACTCAGACTCAATTGCCCACCGGCCCTCGAGGGAGTTTTCCAAATCGAATTCAGGAGGAATCTGTTTTTAAGGGTGACAGCGCCAGAAACAAGGCCACTATCTAAGAAAGTAACTACTTGCTTCCTAATAATAGCTTATAGCTCTACTTGCAAGCTAGTCAGCAATAGAATTTTTTGAGTTGGCATGATATCATTGAGCCAGTAGAGGATCCTCTCCCCACTGGCAGGAGTGGATCCGATTTACTTTTTGACTCGTCACTAAAGTTCATGAGTGAGGTTAGTCAATGGTCTTCATATACAAAAGATGGGTTTTGCTTCACTGCTTTGTGGGGATGATAGATTGAAAGTCTGAATCCGACTATTGGTGGTTTCCTTAAATTTATGAAGATTATGTATCTCTTCCCTATCATCCTTCTTATTAGGAACCAATAACCTTTGATTTTTTGTGACTTAGCTTGAAGGACTGTTGTGCTCTTTCTTGATATTTTTATAATTCCTACAAGCATTAGAAATATAAATATCTACGTATTCTAAACTCTTAGTATTGTTAATTATAATGCATCTATCAATCCATATAAACTATTAAAGTATTAAAGTATGCATTTATAATGTAGTTATTTCAACCAAAAATTTAGTATTATTGTTGTATTTGTGGGATTTGTTATTGCAGGAAACAATTTTTTCCAGTTAAATATTGATTTCTTCATACCGATATGGACCCCATACATGATAAAAACAACAAATTTTGTTTTTCACAATTCATGTTTTCCTACCAAGCCATATACAAGTATGTCAAAAAACTGATGCATATCAAACTCTATTTACATGAATTGATGCTCGTTCAACGCATAAAAAATTTACTTAAAATGTGATCAAGAACAAATTGAACAAAGATTTCCATATAGTTCATTTTTGGAATAACAAAATCGAGGGTGTAGGCAAAATTTTATCCCCCCCTTGAGTTTGTTTTTGTAACATTTTTCCATTATGCTGTGTTTGATAGCAGTGTAATTTTATTTGCACTAGTACAAATGTATGGGAGTGCGAATGAAAAAAGAAATGCAAATTTTGGTTTAATTTGTTTTGTATTTTACTTTATTCTGCTTTATGTCTTATTTTACTTCATTTTTAATGCAACCAAACAAAATAAGGTGAAATTTAAAACAATAATAAATCAAAACTTGCGGCCAAATCATTTGCACTACCATAGTTTTGCATCAATGCAAATGAATTTGCACTGCAACCAAACACAGCCTTAGTGTCAAGTATCTCTTTAACCAATCTGAAGGGGTTGTTGCAGTGGACTAAAACTAGGCAGGCACATAATCAAGTCTTTAGTGCCATTTGGTAAGTATTTTTATGAAGATCTTTTGACAGCCGGCCAAAAGACATGTGGTGTTTGACGTATCTTTTTTGCATGTCTTTCAGTCTGCAAGAAAGATCAAAACACCCAAAAATAGTCTTTTTCTGTTTTGGTATCACATAAATCAAAAGATACGAAGATGAGCACATAAAAAGACCGAAAAGCTAAAAATCAGGAAACTTCAAATGAAGTTTTTGGCCTTTCCACAATGAAAATAGCTTTTCCAACTGTTTTTTAACAGCCTGGTAGAATATGATGCTAACCAGTCTTGGTATTTAAAGACAAGACCCCAAAAGCTCATTGTGTCTTGTATACTGGACTGTTAAAAGGTCTACCTAGAAAGATTTGCCAAACAGCCCATAATGAGCTTTTGGAGTCTTGTCTTTAATGATCTAGACCATTTGGCAGATATCCTATTCTTACATGATCTACCAAGCTGTTAAATGAAAAATTTTAAGCTCAGAAAGATGGAAAGCATCATTTAAAAGCTTCCAAACGCCCCATTTGCTAAACGACTAATTTAGGAAAACCTGAGGCAACAAAAATTGAAGCCCTGAGGCAACAAAATCAGTGATCCCACGGAGCAACCATTCAAATCTGAGATCCAACACCCTCTTTTTTTGGGCCAGATGCCAAATGGAGCAAGGATAAAATTCTCCAAAAGGGCCATTAGGTCAGCCAAGACCCAAAATATAAAAAAAAAAAATGGCATACCCGCAAAGCCATTATGTAAAGAGTCAACATCTGATGCAATGAAATTTCTTCAATGTAATCCGAAATTATTGAGGTCTACCTTTGGTTAAAATAAGGGTTACCTCAAGATCACCTGCCAACAAAAGATGCACTCTCCCAACATGATCTCACACCACACATCTCATACATGGCAGGTCATACTTTTTTGATAGGTCCCAAATTCCAATATCATGGTAAGATGTGCAGTATCAAATCATGTTGGGAGAGTATTGGAACCTCTTTTGTTGGCAGGTGATCCCAACAAGGCTACCTCATAGTACGAGTTTACATCTCCGCCCCACGTCCCACAGAACATCCCTGCCGTGTATTGAAAACATCTCCCAATGATAGTACCAGAACCAATGATATCATCATCGGGAGATGTTTCTAATACACGGTGAAGATATTCTGTGGAGCGTTGTGGGGCGGAGATGTGAACTCATAGTACTTGATAAAGAATTTTAGACCATGTTACACACCCTTTGTGCAGTCCTTTGCAGCCCTGTATTGAGAATATCTCCCTATGAAAAAGAGAATACAAATACAGAAATATTCCCAATGCACAGCTGTAAAAAGCTGTGAGAATGGTGTGAATACGGTCTTGTGAGCACTGAATCCCATCTTGCCAATGCTACTACAACGGCATCCACGTTACTGACCAGAGCAAAGTCTCAGTTCCATGATCCATCACAAGACACCATTTCCATTTCTTTTGTTATATATAAACTCTTCATTTTTTTATTTCTACTTTTCAGCATGGATTAAATCTTAGGGTGCATTTGGTTTACAGGACTAGGGATCCAGAATCTGAATCGGAATGGACACTTGGGATTCCAACTGTTTAATTGAGAAGAATTGGAATCCTATACCCATTCCTGGTGGAATGGCATTCCTCATTTGAAGGAATGGCCATTTCCTCCCTTTCCCTGGGAACAAGAATACATTCCAGCCAATTCTGATTCTGATTCCAATTCCAGCCTGCACCAAAAAGGTAAAGAGAATAGACCTTTCTAATTCCGATTCCAAAGGATTCTGATTTTAATTCCAATTCCAATTCCAACTGTGAACCAAACAGAACCTTATAGTTTATTGCAATGCAATATTTGCTAATGCCTTTAGCCAAAGAAAAGAAAAAAGAGCACATTTCATAAATACACGCTAAATAGCAAACAAAAAAATGCAGTGCAGCAGAAGAATTTGGCAGCATGGCTGAGCAGAAAAAGCGTCACAACAGCTGGCCCAGGATACGTATGTGGATATACTAAAACACACTTTGAATCGTACATTTTGTTCAGGAAAAAATTAACACCAAAAATCTTTTGTTAACTAATTTATCATCATCATCATTCAAGTCTTATCCCAACTAATGGGGTCGGCTACATGAACCCTCTTTCGCCATTCCATTTTGTTAACTACCTTATAATTTGAAAAAAAAATATATATGCTACATTGTAGGATCCAAAACAGAACGTGTAAGTCAGCTCTAATGAACAATGAACTGATGAATTGAAAAGCCTACTCCTATATGTAAAACATCTACTTTTTGTGAAGGTGAAAACCCCTAAACCTCAAACCCTGAAACCCGAGAGAGATTATCACATAATGGGGTACAGCTCTAGTACCCTAGAAAAGTGAAAGACGAAGAATGAGGAAAAAGATGAAGTGAATCATGATAATTCCCCTGCTCTCTCTCTCTCTCTCTAACCATCCTTTCGCCCTTGTAAAATGGGTATGGGTCAAAAATTGACTATGTAGAGTACATACAAGCACTACAGTATGATAGAGCATCCACTTACATGAGATAAATACAGAAACTCCTTAGGCAAGAGATCCAGATCCCTTTCTAGGAATGGGGAGGTGTGAAAAAGAAGGTCTGATAATGGGAAGGTTTGCTATTATAATTGTTCTCACCATCATTACCTCCCTGGTTTTGGAACGTCAGAGGTGGGAAATCCTCATCTTTCAACTGATAATTCCTCTGAGCCGCCAATCTGGCAAAATAATCAAACCCCCCTGTTAAGATAATACATCGACAACATCACAAGCAATCCCAATATATAAAAAGAGAAAAGTATTACTTAAGAGATGAAAAAGAAGTGCCTTAGAAAAGCTCTAGTGCTACATGTGTGACATGCGCTCACTGATTCAGACCTTCCCATCAAGCATTCTAGAAATCCCCAAGAGGATATCACTATCATCCAACCAATAATAGCAAAGGTAGAAGATGGCAGGTAGGAAGCCCGGATTTGGGAACTGGTGACATGAGAAGAAGAAAAAAAGGTGTTTGGTCTAAAATTGAGTGATACTGAAAAATGTGACAAGTGCTTCTCTTCTCTGGGCCAGCATAACTGTAGAATCACATGTATTTAGAGCTTATTTTGAAAGAGGTTGGGGGACAGAAATTACCTCTGAAGTTGGGGAGATGATGGTTGATCAGGTGAAGAGCGTGCAGAACCTCCATGAAACCTCTGCTGCCCATACACACCCCTTGCTGGACCTCCTTTGCTTAGTTGTGATACTTCGTTCACACCTGAAAAATGCACTGGCCCAAGAGTGCCAAACTCAAGCTGCTCAGAAGGTGAACTATAACCAGTGCTGTGATCATAGGAGTACAACATGACAACAGATGGAACAGCAGATGCAGTTGGCGTGTTGCCATTAGAGTTGATAGGAGGAAGCGGATACATGCCATATGCCAAATTGGCAGAGCTACTATGCATGGAGTTTGAGGCACTGAATGGACCATTCTGAGACTGGTAAGAAGGGAATGAATTATGCCTGTATGAACCCCATGGCCTATCAGCCCGATTATCATTTGCTGCCAGTTGGTCTGGTTTTGAGCTCAGCTTCTCAACTTGGTTGCGACCATGGTTTCGACCAGCAGCCCGTGGTTTCGAGTTTGTATTCCATGTTCCTTCTCTATCACCATGGTGGTCATTCCGGTCATAGTTGTTCCCTCTGTGGTTTCTTGCTGTTGAAGCTTGACGATCTCGGAAAGAAACCTTCTGAAATTTTGTTAAAAATTCATGAGTTCCTTCACTGAAGCTAACAAGATTGAAATGTATCTTCAAAAAAAAATATAACATAATAATATTATTGATACACCATACACCAGTACACCAGCTCTAATTTCTAAAAGAATAGCGACGGAAACTAAAAGCTAGTATCATAGTGTGAGTAAAAGAAAACCAAGAGCCTGCTCTACCATCCTTAAAAAGTATTCATGCAGTTGGTCACACTGGTGTTTGTATGTGGTCAGTCCATGGCCTACTACAAAGGGAAAGTACAGTCAGTAAGGGTGATTATTTCTGGCTCAGCCCAGCTTAGAAGCTTCTTGGTGTGGGTCTAGGTTTTGTGCCTACTGTCTAGGCCGAGGTATTAGGCCCACCCAAGCCTGACTATGCATAGATACATACATATATCTGTATGTATTTGTATTATATATATTATACTATATAAATATATATAAAATAATATAACACTTTATTTTTTATCAGTAATATGTATCATAGTATTGTATATATCTCATCATTATCATCATCCAAGCCTTGTCCCAATTATATGGGGATTATTATATATATTTATATAATTAATATTAGTGTATATTCTGCATATATTATAAATAAGACATTATATACATTTAATATAATATTTTTTAAGTTGTAGGCCCAAAAGCTCAGCCCAAGCACCTTACAATAGGTGCAGAAGCTTGGCCCACCCCATTATCAACCCTTAATGATCAGCAGTGAACAGGCTAGATTTTGAAGACTAGTTTGAACCCAAGTTCAGAGTATCTAAACAAAAATTTTTACGTACTAAGCCAGCTACATCTTGTTAGTGCATGGTGACAGTCTAAAATTTACAAACCAGTACTCCAGCCATTAGGTAGCTACCATAGAAACTTTACACTAATAGATGAATTATGACCATGAACAGCACCCTTATTAATTGTGTACTCTTTAACAATAATGCTCTTGAAAAAAGCATCTCAAACATGGTGTACATAAAAAAGTACTTGCTAAAGATTATCTTACAGGATTTGGCAGATATGTTCCCGTTCCACCACGATATCTAGGGGCTTCATCACCATAACGCTGATAAGCACCACCAGGCCTATTAGAACCAGGCTGGAGAGGTGCAACAGGAAAAAGGCGAGGGCCATAATTCACAAGCTGAGTGAACAGGTTGCCATTTGCAGAAAGAGGTCTTCCAGGTCCATCCCATGGAAAATGACCTTGTAAATACACTGGTGGTACCATAACAGGTGAGGGATAAAACAAAGGCCCAGGATATCGAGGATTTTGACAAAACCGCCCATATTGCAGATTTTGCCAATGGCTGGCAAAATCACTGTTAAGGATGTCAGACTTGTGCTCCTCGGTAGGCTCTGCTGAAGCAGACGATTTAATAGAACAAGAACTGCTGAAAAACTCCGGTTGATCAAGACTGTCAGATGAATCAAAGTTCTGATCAGACTGGTTTATATGACTACTATCAATACTTTCTTCCCTGTCAAAATGGCTAGTGGATGCATTTTCTTCCCTGTCAAAATGGCTAGTGGATGCATCAGAGTTTCCTCTCTCTGTTGGGAAATTGCATATTGGAACCATTGTTAGGAATGGAACAGGTGGTCCTGTTGGATAAAAAGCAAACAATCCAGAATTATCCATAACCCTTTGTCTTGAACCGGAACCCACAAACATAGGAATAGGTATTAATGAATCTGAACCACTTATCTGCATTGGTTCATAGCCAGCGATTTGATGGCTTGGAACATGTGACGAAGTTGCAGATAATGGATCCATACTTCTTTCAGTTATTTCAGTGCCTGCAGTTGACAGAGATATCCACTCTCTGTTGTCATCCTCTACTTGAACAGAAACAGGGTCAACTGAAGGAACCTCATACTGCCAATTATTCTTGCTTTTACCATATACAGCAGGTGGAACAGAAGGTGCAGCTGTTTTCCTTCCATGCTTGTTCCTTGCTGACTTGGAGACCTTTGCAGATGATCCATCCCAGGAACTTTCAGCATGTGGCTTGCTTCTTGAAGAACTAGCCTGTGAAACTGGTAAGAATCTCAAGCTTGCAGATCTGTCTGCAGAGTAGACCTCATTGCCTCTGTTGTTTTGGGACCGAGTATTGTCACCATGATCTTCCCTCATTACCACTGTATTTTCTTTGAGAAATTTCTGTTGAACTCTTGTAAAAGAACTGCCAGAGCTACTTGCTCGAGATGAAGAAACAAACTTGTTATCTGACTGTAACACTTGGAGACTTCCATTATTGGAATCAAAACCTATGGCAGAATCCATTTCCTGTTCATGCCCAAAACCAGTATCAACATCCTCTTGGCCTGTTTCTGTCAAACCCAAGCTGTCACTACCTGATTCAATAGTTTCTTCAGGATTTGAGGTCACTCCAACACTAGGAAAATAATGGGATAATGCTGAAGAAACCAGACCTGGAGAAAATTGCATACTTGAGCCCCAAGGAGGTTCAATCAAGGGAATATTAGTGGGAACCATCCCAGCCAGATTCCTTGGAGTATAACCCATTGAAGTCAGAACAGGAGATATTGGGAGAGGTAGGTGAGGTGAAGCCAAATTCACTGGTATCTGAACTTGTCCATTAAAACTATGAAGCCTAGAAGATGACATCATGTTCACAAGGTCTTGCTCTTCTTGATGCCTTTCCATTGCCTCAGCAACAGTAGCAAGCTCTTCCCCTATTGCACCCAACCCGGCTTCATCATGGTAATTATTTGAAACACTGTTTGAGTCAGCTGCATTATCAAGGCTTTGATGGGATGAACTGTGTCCCAATGATGATGGATCATCAATTGAAGATCTTGCACTGTGACTGCTGGAAACTTCAGAGCCCAAGTTCTTGTGTCTCGTACTATTATCTGTCTTTGCAAGAGTAATCTGGCCTTTTCCTGTTTCTGGTGCCTTATTGCGCCTTCCTCGAGTTGAAATTTCATTAGATGTATCTGTAAGTTCTGGACTAGAACGTGTCCTTGCAAACTGATACCTTCCCTGTATTTCATTTACCAAGTAATCTGTTCTGGAACTTCTCTGAAACTTCTCAGCATGTATGCCATCACCAGAGCCAATAGTTCTTCCAAACTGATCAGAGATCTTAGAGTTGGTTGTACTACCATAACTCTTCTGGCTTTGACTATGAGAAACTGTAGATACATTACTGCTCCTAGATAAGCTTTCTGAGGGAGGAATACTATGGTAGATGCCATGCAATGCATGAGTTCCCTCGGCCTCAGCTTCATGACGATAAGAACTCTCAATCTTGTTGCTTGAAGAGCTTTTAGCATTCTCAGACCCATCAACATGATCCGATTTTAATGGTTGCAAATGCCACAGATCAGAACTATGTGCATCTGGGCGATGGCCACTGCCATGTCTGTCCCATGTGTTCATGAAGAATTGATTCACTTCAGCAATTAGGTTCTCTTTTGGACAATCAAGTAACCTTGCAAGCCTTTTAGCCCCAAATGCAAAGGCACTACGTATCCTATAGAAATTGCCTGAAAAGAATGTGAAAATCAAACTGCATAGCGACAATATAAAGCATGTATATACATAAAAGCTCTTGTGGAAACCAAAAGTTCCATAGAGAAAACATCTGAAAGTTCGACAAGGACAGCTAAATGCATGTATAAATAAAACAAAACACATGTTTCTATACTTGCAAACATATACTCCTCTACCTCTTGTGGAATATCAAAGCAATGATTAATATGGTGATCTAAAATTTACGATGCACAATTTCAGAGAAGCAATCAAAATAAGTTAATATAAAAATTGAATTAGTCATAAAAGAAAAATAGAACAAAATATCTCAGAAATTTTGTATCTTGGTTACTGACATAGGTCAAGAGGCACCAAGCTGATGCACATCAAGACACAAAATCCCAAAACCAGTGTTTTAAAAGAGCAAGGGGCAAAAAAAGCACAAGGGGCAATTTGCACCTGAGGTGCAAGGCACAAGGCGAGGTACACACCTTTTTGAAGCAAGGCGCACAAATACAAAAAAAAAAATGCCAGAAAACTTCTCTAAGCTTCTGAATTGCCTAAACTAGTTTTAATAAGGAAGCACCCTTTCTGTAAAACAGACACATTATAACACTAAAAGTGGAATGCCACCCCAAGAACCGCAAATATCAGCAACAAGAAGAAGATACTACACAAATAGAGAAAAAAAAAAACATTCACTGGAACTCACAAGTAACAGCATCCTTCTAAGGTAAAGAAGAAAAGAACTGTTTCAATAATTTGAGGGAGAAAATCAACAAAAATGCTTTCTAATTGATGTATGGCAAAAAAGCTAAGATAGTTACAAGGTTAAACCTTTGTCCAAATGACATATAATATGAAATATATAATACATATGATATATAATATTGTATACTACATAATTATCATCATCATCATCCAAGCCTAATCCCAACTATATGGGGTTGGCTACATGAATGTGTAACATAAATTTTGTACATTATAATATGCCTAATTTTCAAGGCGCCAATGTGAGTCTAGTAATAGTAGTAGTAGTAGTAATAATAGCAGTAGTAGTAGTAGTAGACAGAATTTTAAGTTCTTCCTTACTGGTTCAGGTTTAAAGTCTTTGAGGGTTCAATACAGCATTTAGCAATGTTTGTAATGATTAAATCCTAACAAATAAGAAATAATAAAAACAAATTAGTATATAAACACAAAATGAATATTTTAGTTTAATAGTGCCTATTTTATAATTATAATGTCAAAAAATAATGAATAAAAAATATTTTACAATACATAGTACAAAACTGATTGGCGATTAGGCGAGGCGAGCCTCAAAGGACGCCTTGTCGCCTAGGTGTCGCCTTGACAACTATGATATATCATATATTTAATGTTTCATACTATACATTTAATATTTTACATTTAAAACATGGGCCCGGAAACAGGCCTGGGGCAAGGCTATAGCCCTTATCATAGGTGCTAAGCCTGCCATGGCCCATGATCATCCTACACACTCAAAAACCTTTACAGTCTAATTTTGCATTCAGATTCTATAATTTTGGGTTTGTTGAAAAGGTTAAACTTCTTATCAACAAGAACAAGGTATTATTGGTGGCATAATATTTCATTTTAATTTTCATAAAGGAAATCGTTAACAGGAACAACAAAAAATAAAACTAATTAGGGGGATCAATAAACCAAAAATTTTATTAAGACAAGAAATTGAGGGATAAGCAAGAGTAATATCAAGGTGTAGAGGAAGAAGAGCTTCATATCATACACAGGCTAAACCAAGGCAATAAGAGACCATTACAACCTAAAACACAATAAAATAATCCCACATTAGAGCTCATTCATAAAAGTGAATGCCCCAAATACAACTCATACCCCCCACCCCACTCCCCAAACAAGATCATCTGCCAATGAATGGGCTGATCTAGGCACCAATCAGAATGAGAATATGTTCACTCTAGATGCTAAATATCTAGCCTCTTTGATACAGTTGTGTAATGATTGGGGTTCCTTGGAACCATTAATGAGATCAGCCAATAGTCATCTATAAATCATCCTCCACCTCAACCTGTGCAAATCCAATGAATGTATCAATCAAAGCCCATGCACTAGAGCTAGTATCTGATCTCCAACTGAATCCCAGATGCAGAGTCAATAGGGCCACAATAGATTTAATCTCTCATCCCTATCATTTGAATATGTTATGACCACAAGGGAACAGCAGCTGATGGTTAGCCATGTATACAAGAAACAACCAATGTTAGCTTTTCCTCCTAGTGTGCCAGTGATGTTCAGGAGTGGGGGAAACTGCAAGAAGAAAACCCAGAGATATCATTGCAGGCTCTTACGAGCCCTGCATCTCCGCAAAACATGAGTAGCAGGCACACTTCAAGGGTGCCACGGGTCAATCTTGATAGACAGCTGCATCACCCTCAATTTTGTCACTAATGTGTTGGTCAAGCAATTAGGGATTCCGCTCAGGCAAGGTGCTTAAGATTCAAATCCACAAGTTTATAGTGGATCTCTACCCTCTTCAATTCAGTGGTGCAAACATTGTATTAGGGATCCAATGGTTGAGGCAATTGGGTCCTGTAGTCTGTTATTGGGCCACACAGCCAAGAGTACCAGCCCAATAAGTCTGTCAACACTAGCCAGACAAGCTAGGGACCCAGTGCAGCCCACCTTAATGCAAATTGACTCCATTTCGACAAGCCCAACTCTTGCCAAACACAATGATTCTGAGGATTACCAGTATGCTACAATCTATGCCGGATCTAACGGTCTTCCTCCACCATGGGAACACAACCATTCTCTTCCCCAGAGCTCTTGGTAAAAAAGAAGGATGGGACATAATCGCTTATATCACTTTCAACCACATTACCATCAAAGACAAGTTCCCACTCTCAGAAACTGATGAGTTATTAGATGTGCTTAAGATGATCAAAGTGTTTTCTAGATTAGACCTAAAGTGGGTTACCACCAAATAAGGGTGCATGCTGATGATGCACACAAAATAGCCACATTTCAAGCGGACCTGTTCACGGGCCGGGCTTTGGGCCTGACTTACACTGTGTGGCTAGGGCTTCAGACCAAGCCCCATTCAAAATTTGGCAAAAGCCAAGCCCAAGCCCGGCCCATGAACAGGTCTTTTCAAGCATTCATGAATGATAAATTCCCGGCCATGCCCTTTGGGCTGACCAATGCTTTGGCCACATTTCAAGCATTCACAAATGATGTATTCATACCATACTTGCACAAATCCATTCTTGTTTTCTTTGATGACATTCTAGTGTACAGCCTTGACTGGGATCTGCACTTAGTTCATCTAATAGAACATCTTGGATGTTCTCCAACACAACGAGCTCTTTGCCAAAGAATCCAAGTGTGCATTCAGCCATTCACAATATTATCTAGGCCATATAATAGAGAATTGCACAGTACGAGCTGACCCGGATAAAATAGCTAGCCACAACCCAAGAACGTGAACAACCTGCATGCATTTTTAGGCCTCATGGGTTATTACCGTCATCTTATACAGGATTATGGGCCTATAGCAGACGCACTCATCTGGTCAACAAAAGCCCAATGGGCTTTTGAGTAATTGAAAGATGCAATATCTTCTCCTCCATCATCGGTTTTACCGCATTCTCCAAAGATTTTGTTATGGAATGTGAAGCCTCTAGTCACAGGATAGGTGATGCAGGAGTTGAAGAGTCAAAATTGGAATTTTGTGAAATCTTATGTATATTTGTATTTTTGGACATCGGGGATATTTTTGCCATTTTACAATTTTTCTGTAGGGTCCAATAATAGGGCCTGATTGTCTATTTATAGTTTGTTTATGTCTAAAATTTCAGTCATCTTTCTTTTGATAATTGAAAATATTTTCATTAATCAAAGGAATAAAGCTTTACAAGGATCCCTTGGAGAGGCATGTGATACAGCCTCCCCTAAACATTACAAGTGATCAGAAATAAAGATTACAAGGCTGCCCAAAATAAACAATCCCTAGTAGAGACCCCTGTTTAGCAAGATAATCAGCAAAGGCATTTGCCTCCCTACCCACCCACTGATATCTACATGTTATGTGCCTTGTTAAACACCTAACCTTTTTGATGTGATCCCTATAACTCCAAACAACTGAGTCTGGATTTGACAGCCAGCCCACAATCACCTTAGAGTCCCCTTCAATTAATAGATTCTCCACTCCTAGTTGATTAGCAATCTGCATTCCTTGTACAGCAGCCAACAACTCAACTCTTGTAGAGTACCCTATTCCTACMGGGCCTGAGAATAAGGATATGATGTTGCCATTTTCTTTATCAGTAACAAAATGCTTTATTAAATAATAAAATTTGTGAAACTTTTAAGTACAAGAAAGGGGAGGTAAACTATCTTAACTCCCCCACAACAAGGAACAAAGAAGAAAGCTAAAAATTAGCCCAAAACATAGATTCCTTAAGCGCCCCTTGCTTGGCTAACCCATCAGCCATTGAGTTAGCGCTTCTCTTCACTCAACTGTACTTCACCTCAATATCCCTACTCAGCCATTTAAATTTTTTCTTTTCATTTCTGTAGCTCCACAAACCATTGTTGTCTTCCTTCAGCCACCTAATCACCACCTCCAGTCCCCTTCAATGACCAAGCATCGAATGTTTAATTCTCTTGCTCTTTGGATTCCTTCCAGAACTGCTAGAATCTCAGCCCTAAGAGAGTCACCCTCTCCGATTGGGCCTGAGAAAATAGCATTAATAATCCCAGCCTATAAAGAACTTCTCCTTATCTTGGAAGATTCTAGCATTTCTTTCTTCCCAAACCGTCCATAAGGTGGCTGCCCTGAAACATCTCCACATACTCCTCCCTCTTTTTGTTGGACAGGCAAAAGTAGTCGGTGAGAATAATAATTTTACCTATGCTGGTTGATTCCACTTATAGCCAAACAAACCAAACGTCCAATCCCAGAGAGTTGCAGCAAAGGAACAAGAAACTAAAGTGGTAATAGTCCTCCCTATGA